TCTCTCTCTCTCTCTCTCTCTCTCTCTCTCTCTCTCTCTCTCTCTCTCTGCTGATCTGTCACTTTACTGTGGTCTAAATGTGTTCCCAGAAATCCATGCGTTGAGATCCCAGTACCAATGGGATGTTGCCAGAATGTGGGTCTTGTGGGTGGGGAGGAGTTAGGCTGTACTGATGGGAGCCCTAAAGAACGGGGTCCGTGGCTTTGAAGGCACTTCAGCCCACCCACATATGAGAATGGAGTGTGTGTGGGGGGGTGCCACCTACAAACCAGGATGCAGGCCTGTCCCCACATACTTATCAGGGCTCTGCCTTGGACTTCTACCTCCACAGCCATGAGAAATAAACCTCACTTGATAAGGTTCCCAGCCTGTAGGATTTTTGTCTCAGTGAACTGAAGTGCAGTGTCTCCTTACCACCACCTCTGTCCTGACCACAGACCTCTGGTCCCTGAATATGGAGGTGTGTCTTAGCTAGCCAAGACCCCTCAGCCTACACACTGTCTCATGAAAGAGTCCCAGGCTACAGCAGGCACCCCAGCAGCCTGGAGATTGTGGTGGAAGGTTCTAGAAGCTGTGCATTCATCCTAGCTAGGGTATACGCCTACAGGACAAGTCTAGGGCCCCCAGCATTCTAGAGCTCACACTCTGAAGATTCTCCTATCTCCTTGCAGCCCCCAAAAGCTTACCTACAGCCTCCCAGCTCCTTCCATGTTTGGCTGGAGTGGAAAGAACCCATGTGTCCAGCCCTTGCATGGTCCCAGTGTCTATTGTGGACCATGGAGTCCAACTTTCACCAAGCAAACCATGGGTCACTTCCAGCAGAGTGTGATCAGATACAGCAGAGACCTCATTGGGGGATCTGTGTGCCCAGTTGGCTATGACCCTAGTCTCTGCCCCCACCTTCCCAGAACTCCTAGAGGTGTCACAGTGAGTGATCCACAGCCTCAAGGGCCCAACTTGGTCTTCGTTCACACTCAGGGGTCCCCAAAACCTGACCCACTAAGGTCCTAAAGCCAGGTCTTTCAGCACTGACTTTACCATGGCATTTTCAAGTGAGAAAGGCCAGTGCCCCCAAATGCTTCTGGTGGAAGGACCATTGAAGGACTAGGGGCCCTCACCTCAGCACCACAGACGGATGTGCCCATTCCAAATTTCAGAGTCCAGATCTTGTTCAGTGCCCTAGTTTTTCTCATAAGAACTCAGCGGGGCGTGGGGGGGGGGTGGGCAACACCTCAGTCAGTAAAGTGCTTCTTGCACAGAACCTGAGCTGAATCCTTGAACTGGAATGCAAAGCAAAACAAAACAACAAACACCAGACCAGAGTATCCCACACATACAATCTCCATGCTGGGGAAGCCAGGAACAAGAGCATCCCGAGGCTAACTGACCTGCCAGCCTTCCTACTCATGTGGGCAGGAGAAGACGTCCATGAAGGTGGCAGTGGTGGAAGCCGTGCCGTAGCATCAGCTCAGACAGAGAGCTACTGACTGTTAAGAGTTAGTGTGACTGCTGTAGTGCTAACTCATACATCACATACTGTAAAGTTCTGAGGCATCCATCAGTCAGCTGCCCTCTCTGCTCAGGAGACTAGCTCCCTACCCTTCTCAGGTGAAGCTTAACCACACCTTATGCCTGGCATTGGGCTAGCATAGTTTTCATGACAAATCCCTCTGTTGGTTAATCGGTATCAACCTGTTGGTTAATCGGTATCAACTTGCCTGGGTTTAGAATCACCCCGGATGGAGATATATCTCTGGGTGTGTCGGCAAGAGTATTTCCAGAAAGGTTCAACTAAAGAGGGAGGAAAACACCCTGGATATAGGTGGCACCATCCCGTAGGCTGGTGTCCTAGACTGAGTAAGAAGGAGTTAGGGAACTGGGCGATGGCATCTGTCATTCTGACTCCAGATGTAGTGAGGTCACATGCCAGGCACCACACCTTCCCCACCGTGATGCACCCAACCTTCAAACCACTCAGATTCTACATTAAATTGATTTTGTTAGGCACTCGGTCATACCTAAAGAAAAGTAACTCCTAATACTACTCCAAACCCCAGGTGACAGGCCTAAGGTCTGAGCTCAGCTCTGAACTGCAACTGGAGATTGCCCTTTTCTAGGACCATGGGCCACCCTCAGAAGCCACCAGAGCATGGTCTCAATGTTTCTAACAGCCCCATTAGGAAATTGTTCTCATGGGATCCAGGCTTTGTGCTCCACCCCTTCCTGATGCCCTTGGAGGCCAGGAGACCTGTTCAAAGGTCACCCAGGGCCCAATGAACTCTTGCTTAGAGCCCTATTGCTTTCTTTGAGCATATCCCTGGCTCATATTTGAAAATCTGAAATACAGCCCCTGAGCCCAAAGCGCCTGTCCCAGCTCCCTGTTCAGGCTCCAGCCCTGGCTCTATAAAGGCTCCCTGGTTACATTCAGAACTGGCAAGCAGTCCAGCATCTCACCATTATCTCCAGTGAGGACCGTTTCTACTGCTGTGCCCGTCCATCACGATGTACAGATCCTCTTTTACACTGGCAAGTCCCCATAACCACCCCCCTGTCCCACCCAGAGGCTGCAGGGAAGAATACCCAGGGAGAAGCCACTCATATCAGCCCATAGCAGAAAACCTACCAGGGTCACACCAGCAGACCCTAGGTCCCTTTGGGCTAGAGTCAAGAGACAGAAACGAGTCAGAGATGGGGCTTGGGGAGGTCAGAACACCCAGACATCAGGGTCCCTATACTAGAAAACACACCTGCCCCTCCCCCACACAAAAGCCCACAGAGTGCCCTGGTATGTCATCATCTCCAAGGAGTTCATATCATCACAAAGGTGGACCGGAAGCCAGCACCATGTGACCTCACAGCCAGCTCGGCCTGACCGCTGCTCTACTCCACCCAGAGCCCACCTTGGCCAGCTCACCCCAGCTCTGAGACATCCCAACTTTAAGGACTTGCCTAGTAGTGGCTTACAGCGCTAGGTAAGGTTCACTGAGAGGGGCCTGCCCGGCCACTTCTCCAGGTGGTATTTTGTTTTTTTTTTTTGTTTTGTTTTGTTTTGTTTTGTTAGAGACAGTCTCACTCTATAATCCATGCTGGCCTTGAGTTCACAGCAATCCTCCTGCCTCAACCTCCCAAATGCTGGTTCCAGGCATGTGACACCTAAGCTTTGTCATGACCCCCTCTAAGAACCCAAGCATTTCACTCAGAGCCCATCGAGCATTTCAGCATTTCATCACCTAGCCCTTGCTGAGTAGCCCCTTTGATACAACTTACTGCCTGGAATGCCCCTGCCTCATCCTCATGACCACCCAGAGAGTCCCTTCTCCACCTGGGGGTGTGGTGTCACCCTGACTCCTTTCCTCCTTACCGAGCACAATCACCCCACACCTCCTGACCCAGGCCACTTAGCTGTGGGGTGTGTGTGTGTGTGTGTGTGTGTGTGTGTGTGTGACTTGTCATCCAGAAGTGAAGTTTTCAGGCCGTGATATGAGCCAGCAGATTGCAGAAGTGAATTAGCTAATGCATTCAGAGTCTGAACATGCTGGAACTTGAGTTGCAAAGACCAAGCCAGGCCCAGGCTTGTCCTGCAAGGCTGACATACACACCCACTCACCCACGCATTCAACTGAAGTTGAAGATACAGGAGCCCCAGCCCTGGGGGAGCTGATATTCTCCTAGGGATGACATAAATAAAAACACTCAGGGTTACAGAACTGTATGTCAGGTAACACAGACCAGGAGCAGGCTTAGGTTTGCTCGGTTGAACTTGAAAGCCAAGTGGGGGAAAGACTCTGAAAAATGGAGCCTTCTTCATTTTCTCTTCAGTTAGGGACCTGGAAGATGGGTCTCCTGACAAAGGGGCTTGAGGAAATAGAGAGATATAAAGAAGGCTAGAGAGAGACATCTTTGTCAAAGGAGAGACACCCTCAGGTCTGGCTACAACTCAAGGTGATTGTAGCCTGGAGCAAACAGGGTGTAGGAAGGATGCAAGGTCAGACTCCAGCAGAACTGAAAGTGTGATTCCAAAGCTTGGCTTCAATAACTCGAGGATGGAACTGCCTGGAGAAAAGCAGAGGCCTTGTGAGCATGCAAAGGACCAGACAGTCACTGTCTGAACATCCAGAGGAAGTGCTGGGCATGTGAACACCAAGAGACAGGCAACAGCTGACTGACAGGGAGTGAGGGCCAGGGCCCCATCCACTCTGCACCTTATCAGAAACAGCCATGCCAACTTCTCAAGGATTTCATCAGGAGCATCTAAGCCCCCCATCCCACCTCCCACCGACCGGGCCATTTGGAAGATGACATACAGACAGAGACACCTAAGCTTGATGGATCATGGGACCCTGCTTTAAGCTGCTAACCCGAACCCTCTCGTTCTGTATGGTTTCCACATACATTATCCTTCCAACCCTCACCATTCCCCGAAACTCTTGGATTCCCACAGGAACACAGAAAGGACAAGCAAGGAGTTCAGGGCCTGAGTAACCTCCCCATCAGAATTCCCTATCCACTTTCCAAGCCCAAAACTCCAGGAGTCCTCCGGGCACAGGCAACCCAAGCAGGCTCCACCGTAGAGGCCAATGGACACCTAGGCTGGGCTTCCTGCATTTACTGGGGAGGATAACCTCAGGCCTAGTTAGTCCCTGCCATTCCAGACAATGGAACAAGACAGAAACCGACTTTGAGAAGCAATGGACACCAGGACTAGTTGGCCAGGTTTCTCTTCTGCACAGAGTCCCCTGGGCACTCTGGGCACAGCTTACTGCGCTGAGAGCAGAGACCAGAACAGAGCATCCCCAAAGCACTAGCTTCCGTGTGTTCTAGGCATCCAAGCTCCAGCTGCATCTCCTGGCCCTGGCCTGGGGTGCTTAGCTGTGTACCTTTCACCCAGAACTGGCTGATAGGGAAGTCGGAGAGCCCAGTGGGGATGGTGGAGAGAGCGTACCAGTGTGAGAGGAGGCGCTCAAGCTTCCTGGAGTATGGACTGCTGCTGCTGCTGCTACTGATGTTGCTGGGAGCCATAGTGACTCTGGGTGTCTTCTACAGCATAGGTGAGCAAGGATACTCTGCCCCCTTACCTTCCCCCAACCCATCCCTGCCCAGGGCTTCGCTTGTCCCTGAGAGAAGCCAGCCTTGTAGAGTAGGTTAAAAGGTGGGATGGGGGTCTGCCCCCCACCCCGCCGCCTGCTCCTAGGGCCATGCTGCTGACTCCAGAGCTGCCACGGAAGGGACACTGACCTGCACGGGCACAGCGACCCCCATCCAGAAAAGCTCCGTCTGTCCCGGCTTGCTGGCGCAGCTGCTTCTGCAGGCTCTGCCTCCGCCCCCTCTGCCTCAGCAGAACTCTAGGAAGCTGCACAGGTCCCCCCGCCCCACCGGTCCAGCCCCCTTCTTAGTCCGCAGCCCAGCCCAGCAGAATGGCTGCTGCAGTTCCCAAGTGGCCCAGCAGCAGGAGCCCAAGCCCCTGAGCTAAGGGTGTTCCGCCAGCTGTCTCACCTGGTGCTAGTCGGGGTGACCTGGTGGCTTCTGATACAGGCTCTTGCTTATTGCAAGTTGGAAGGAAGGGGCTAGCCTGAGGACCCATGAAAGTAGAGGTGTGGCTAAGACTGCCCTTTGGGTAGATCTCAGGTGTCTTAGCCGTCACACACTGACCCCTTCCTAAAGGACCACATGTAAGACTAAAGTGCTCCCCTTTGTGTGGGGCACCCAGCAGACCTACACCCTGTACCCTGCACCTTCCAATCCCTCCATCCCCTTTGAGCCAGAAGTGGGAAGAAAGGAAGGGGGAGGGATGGATTAAGACCCACATACAGTATATAGATACACATACAGTATCAGTCTACTACACTACTCTACTCTGGCTGTGTCTCTTCAGTGATGGGCTAACCTGGCCCTGGCTCTCTCACCAGGGCACCAGAGCCTAGAAGTTCTCTCAGGGGACTATGGATGAGGGACAGCTGGAAAACACAAGTGGGTTCTGCCTAAGGAGGAGGTGGGTATCTCCCACCCAGGGCTACCTTCAAGGGCCCACATAGTGTGGCTTCTGCCCAGTGGTCACTGTGGTCTCTGTCCATGTGGTTCTCAGGCAAGTGTTGACAGGTGCAACCAACTCCATGGCAGAAACAGGAATGACAGGGTCCACCCCCCTAGTGGAGCCCAGGGTTCCAGGGACCTTTGTTTGAAGGTCACTGATCTCAAAACATCTGGTTTTGAGGCCTCCAGAGACCAGACCTGGTAGCCCCATAGCCAGCTATGAGGGACACGACTGGGGAAAGAGAATGGGGTTCTCCTGTTCTGCCCCCTGTCTTCTCCATGCTCGTCTCTCCCTTTATCCTTTGAGCAGCATGACCTCTGGCACACTCAGGATCTCCTTGACTCTGCCAGGGCCCCACAATCTGTGCTTTTTCCTCCTCCCTCCTCCTCTTCCTCCTCCTCCTCCTCCTCCAGGGCTCCTGGGACCCTGGAATGCCCCTGTACCTAATCCCAGCTTCAGTCTATGACTTCAGTCGGGACTGAAAAGATGGGAAATTTTGTATTACCCATAAGTACTTTCTCCTTTCTGTTCTGATGTTTTCTTATTGTTTCTGATTTGCCAGCTATAGTTTACTCTTTAGTTTCTGGATCGTGTGGCCTTATGTCACCGTTTTAAATTTTACTGACTTCTGGGTCAGCTGTACCATGGCTGGTCGGTGAGATCTCTGGTGCTTGACTGAGGTTAACCTTGGGTATGTTCCTGTTGCTTTGATAAAAACACCCTGACAGGACAACTTAAGAGAGAGAGTGTGTTTTTGGAAGTCAAGGCAGGAGGGACTTGAAGCCATCGGGAGAGGAATGGATGCTATCTATGTTCAGCTCCTTGTCTTCATTCTGTACAATCCTGGGTTCCCTACGCACAGTAGGCAGCTCTCACACTCAGTTCAGGTAACCCCCCTCTTGCATGCACGAGAGGCCTTTGTCCCAGGTGACTCTGAATCCTGTCTAGTTGATAATGCTGTCCGTCTCACTAGCCTAGGCCAAGTAAGGCTTGGTCAGTTTTACCAAAAAATGTAAAATAGGTTGTGGGCCATGCCGGATTCAACCTGCTAAGAGTCCATAGGTTCCTGTGAGCTCAGTCAAAGTTAGGTCCAGGTTCTGCCTTCCAGCCCCAGGCTCCAAGAAATAAGACCCAGATTCAAATTATTTTTACAAATACCTTGGCCATAGAGCTTTTAGGCTCTACTCTGACTAGATCATAGCTAGAGATAGCCCATTTATTTTAACCTACGTTCTGTCACGTGGTTGGTTACCTGTGCTCAGGTTCCATGTACCCCTCTCCGTATATCTTTCTGGGCTCTTCTCCCTGCCTCCTCTCTCCCAGAATTTTTTCTCTTCCCAATGTCCCGCCTCTATTTCCTGCCTAAGCCATAGGCCGTAGGCTTTGTAATTGACAGGTGCATCCATACAATGCACAAGATGATTTCTCTACAATTCCCCTTTTCAGTCCAATAAGAGGCTCTTTTTTAAAAAAAAAAAACAAACAAACAAACAAAAAAGAGAATACATAAGTTGAATGCAATTGTAATAATTATGAAAACCACAAGGTAGGAGTATACATCTATAATGTACAGTCCACTGATATTTGGCAACTCAGATAAAATATTTTTAAAAGAAAGTTGACTCTCTCTCTCTCTCTCCCCTAAAGATTTATTTATTTATTCTTTTTTTTTTTTTAATGTATATGAGTACACTGTTGCTGTCCTCAGACACACCAGAAGAGAGCCTTAGATCCTGTTACAGATGGTTGTGAGCCACCATGTGGCTGCTGGGAATTGAACTCATGGCTCAGTGTTCCTAACCACTGAGCCATCTCTCCAACCCCAGATTTTATCACTTGGTTTTCCAGTTGTTCAAAGGAGTGTCTCTGAAAACCTTGCACCAGAGATGTGTCAGTTTCCTGGAGTGGGATGAAGAACTAATTTGTCAACAATGTTAAGACTTGTGAATGAACATAAATTCAGCCATAAGGGGCTGGAGAGGTGTCTCAGCAGTTAAGAGCACTGGCTGCTCTTCCAGAGGTCCCAGGCTTGATTCCCAGTAACCACATAGCAGCTCACGACTGTCTGCAACTCCAGTTCTAGGGGATCCAAAACCCTCTTCTGGCCTCCACAGGCACCAGGAGTGCACATGATGCACAGACAAACACAAATACAACACACACATAGCACACATACACACACAGGACACACACACACAGCACACACACACACAGCACAACACATACACACACAGCACAACACACACACAGCACAACACACAGCACACATACACACACAGCACACACACACAGCACACACACACAGCACACACACACACACAGCACACATACACACAGCATACACACACACAG